TTGGCCTCGCTAGAAGACTGTGTTTTGCAAGAGTTCGAGCAACTCATAGCACAGGCGTCGGACCTGGCGGCTTCGCGGTGGGCTCGGTCAGCGCGTGTGCAAAGCAGTGTGGAATGGGCTAGTGCGGCAGCAAAGTTCCGTCGAGTCGATGCATCGCTGCCGCTGGCTGCGGGATCGGCGTGCCTTCTTACAGCTTGGGCTCCGGTTGTGGAAAACAAGCAGAAGCGGCTGCGACAGGGTCATTGGCCTACACGGTCTCATGGTGCGGCGTCTTTGAGTGCAGTGGACCAGTCTCGCCAAGCAGGGGAGGACAAGCAACGTCGTCGCTGGCTCGCTCAACTCCAGCGCTTGATCGCCACGTCCGGGCTCCCAGCTGCGGAAGCCGGAATTTCTGGTCGGGTGGGCAAGGGCAGGCGAGCTTCCACCTTACGGAAGCATGTCAAAACGTGGGAGCGCGTCGTGGCATGGGTTCGAAGCGCTTTTGGGGTCAGCTGGCCCTCCGCAGACCACTTTGCGGCGTATCTGCAGGCCCGGGCTTCCGAGCCTTGTGGACGATCGGTTCCAGGCAGCTGCCTGAAGACTTTGATGTTTATGGAGTCAGCCGGGGAGGTGTCGCTAGACTCTAAAATCAGTCGCTGCCCCGTCATACGCAACACTATGGAAGAGTTGGCACTGGCTTTGGGCAATCAAGATCTACGCGGCCGCCGCCAGGCCAACCAACTGCTGGTCTCTCAGGTCAAAGCCTTTGAAGGACTGGTGATGAACGAGCAAGCTCCTCGCTATGTTCGTGCTTTTGCTTGGTTCAAGTTGGTGAAGCTTTGGGGATGCTTGCGATACTCTGACACGGAAGGCATGCCGGCAAGGGCAGTTGTCGTGGACGAGCGTGGTTTGAGTGCTCGCCTGGAGCGCACTAAAACGACAGGTGCAGGCAAGAAGATTGCGGTGCTTTATGCTTATGTTTCTTCTGCAGCTTGGCTGGTGGAACCATGCTGGCTCCGAGTGGGTTGGCAGCTTTGGCAAGCCATGGGTGATGAGACAGCTGCTGCTTCGCGTGATTTCTTCTTGTTGCGGCCAGCAGCTGGCCTTCAGGGCTGCACTGCCAGAATGGCGCGGTATTACCATGCTTCGGCCATGTCTCAAGCGTTGTTCCGAGAACTCCGGACTGACGGTGTGGATGGTCGGGAGCTTATGGCGCTTGGGCTGGGAGTTCTTTGGAGTGAGCATTCCGAGCGTGCTACCATGCGCAGTTGGGCAGCTTGCTGTCGTGTTGGAGAGCTGGCGGGCAAACAGCTAGGGCGATGGCAGATGTCGGTGGACGAAGCTTACATTAGATCTGTGCGTGGCAATGTGGAGGCTGCTCAAAGGAAAGTTGCTCGCGTGCTGCGGCGTGGAATTGGTGGGCGCGATCTTCTGGACGAAGCTAGTGTGCTGTCCAAGGTGGCATCGCGTTTAGAAGAGCTGGGCTTTGATCCGGAGTCGGTTTCCGTGCAGGTTGCCTTGCTGTCTTCCTTTGCCACCAAGCAGCTGGACGACGGTTCGGCCACTGAGGAAGAACTCTCGGACGAGTCGGAGGCACAAGTGGCATCTCCGGCGGACATGGACGCAGAAGACAATGCTGAGGATGCAGCTGACTGGCATTTGGGCTTGTTCTTCGTCAGTTTGACTGGGCAGCATGGGCGCCAACAAACGCTGCACAAGGGCGGCGAATGCCATCGAGTGCCTGGCGTCCACTACCGGCACTTCAAACAGTTCGGTGATCGCTGCCCAGCTCGCGAGGAGTATCGGCGCAAGTGTCGGGATTGCTTCCCGTCTGGTGAACCAGTTGCTTCCGCGTCGTCAAGCAGTGAATCTAGCGACAGCTCTTCATCCTCATGTGCTGAGAGCGAAGGTTAGTGAGTCCTGGGTTAGGTGACCTGGGACGGAGAAGGCTTGCAGCAAAGACGGCTGTGAGGGAGTGCAGGTAAGGGCCAGGTTGGGTTCGAGTGAGTGCGTATGTGGCCGAGGTGGCTGCGTGCGGCTTGCTTTGTTTAGGGAATGCTCTATGCAGGTGAGTGGCTGTGTCAGGATTGCGAGTGTCTGTGTGTCTCGGCGCTTCATGTGCGACATGCGGACTCGCTCTGCTTGATCGGTTGGCCTGCACAGTTTGCTTGATCGAGCGTGTTTGAGCATTTTCTGTGCGCCTAGCTTTTAGCTTGCCTTGCCGCCCTTGCCATGCCGGAGGTTTCCATCGAGGAAAGTCAGCGCCAGGCGATCCAAGCCTTGGATTGGCTGGCTTGCTTCAATGCAAGGACGTGTCTTTGCAAACACAAGCGATGCTAGCTTCCAAGAAGGTGAAGTCCATCGGACGGTTGGCTGCTGTGGCGGACGACCGCAGCGGCGTCCGCGAGTTCTGCAACACAGTTCTCGGGTTGAAAAGTGATGTGGCAGATGGTGCAGTGGAAGTGGCCAGCGTGGTCGATGCTTGGTCTTCTGCTCAAGTGCGCGTTGAAGCTCGTCACAAGGCGGAGGCGGAGGCGGTCGTCGGGGGCTTGCCGAAAGTCGTTGCACGTACAGAGTTGTCACAGCTGCGTGATCGGTTTGAGCAGTCCTTCTTCAAGCTACCCGATAAACTCATGCCGGCCAATGCGACCTTGGAGCAGCATTTTGACATGTTGGACAATGGAGAGTTCACTGCCTTATCGTTGAGGGAGTACGCCTCTAAAGACGATGCGTCTCAAGAGCCATTCGCCGCTACCATCGATCGCAGCACTGGAGCCATCAAAGTGCGGAAAGGCCATATGCAGATGCCGTTGCCGACGTCTTCAGAAGAATTGCGTTTGCGTTTGCGTGTGGTGGCTCATTGTTTTGTGATGTGCTCCTTGCGCTATCCGCACATGCCGGTGCTCCAGGGAATCGCGCCCCACCACTTCAGCAATTATGCGGACTTCTTGTTGGGAGAGTTTGTGATGAATCTGC